AATGGCGAGCCGCTAAAGTTGATGAGCTGCCACAGACTCAGCTCATCCGTTCTATGGCTGTGTATGGCAAATGCACAGACATGCTGTGACAGCTCAGTGCAGCAGGTCATGTGACTCACTGACAGGCTGAGCAGAGACAGAAACATGGCTCCTTCACCTTAAAGCAGGTTTAACTTGAAGAACGGTCAGATGGGCATGAGGGACCGAGGACCCGACAAACGCTGCTTGCAGCTTTAATTAACAAATTGTTTTCTAAGTGTGCCTGCTGGATTTAATGAAATTTTTATTGGATCTCAATGTTAATTAAATTTTCCCTTCAGGACAACCCATTGTAGAATAAATGGCTAAAAATAAGGAAAACAACACACGGAGCAGGACTACAAAGAGCAGAACTGTAGACTGTCACATAAGCCTTCACTAAGAAGCAGAAAAGTACACAAACAAAACCCAGCTCTCAACAGACGATCACATCTAAAGCAGATGCTCGTGCACACATCTGTTATGACTGTCAACAGTGTCTTCTAAAGCTTCTGAGCGTTTAGTTTGTTTGGTAATGCTACAGAGTCACAGTGAGATTTGCTGGTATTTGAACCAGCACCTTAAATGACCTTGATTTCGTTACAGAAAGTAAGCTTTATGATATTGTAGTCATACAGTCCTCAAGAATGTTGTTTAAATGTTGTATTTTAACCGTGGCTGGTTTCTTGACTGCTGACCTTTGGCCTCTTAAGCATCGTTTTTAGCATCTTAATGCACTGACGTGAAATGATCTGCTAATGTTGCATTACAAAGCTTATATTCTGGTCCATCACAAGACTGGACAGAGTGTAATTTGTGCCTTTTTTTAAAAAAATGTAAACAGTCGACTCTCCACTTTTATCAACAAGTCATAGTCTGGATTAAGGCCTTCAATCTCTGCTGAGTAAACACTCCCACATGTTGTAAATGCATGTATACGCACACACACACACACACACACACACTTGCACATAAACATGGTACACATAGACACGACATGCACATTTCCTGCAAGGAAGACGCTGAGGCTACATATATTTCTCTTTTGCATTTTTCGCAGCTGTGCTTCGGTAACTGATTCCAGATGTAACAGTAGCTATATGTGCACCTTAGCTTGAGTCATCTTTACAGTATTAACTCCACTTTTTACCGATTTAAATGTTAGCACAATTTGTCTGTGACGTTTGCATTGATGCTGCATTTATCTTGTGAGTTTCTTAGATGCATTGCAGTCATGTGGGGGTCAGAAATACTGCAGTGTAAAAAAGAAAAAAAACACAGTTATCATGCACAAATCAAAACCATCTGAAGTTTTTTTTTTGTAATTCTTGGCATGCGCTTATGTTTACAAACATTTGTGGGTGTTTTTAGGCATTTTATAGCTTTTCCTGTGTGCTTAATGTGACTTCGTGATAAATCTTTCATGTGCTTGTGTGTGTTATTAAAGTGTTACATACGCGCTGCCTCCAACAGACTCTTTTCATGTGAGAGACCTCGATCGGCTCCTGACCATCAGCCTGCAGCTCCACCTGTCTGACAACTGGCAGAAACACAGAGACCCAGTAAAGAAGCAACAACGCACATCTGCAAATTGAGGTCTGTGAAGGCGTTTCACTGGTCTGACTGAGGGGCGACCGCCAGCTAGCCTGACCAAAGGGGCAGCCATGTTGATCATCTTAGCCTTCATCATCCTCTTCCATCTGGCTGCAGCCATCCTGCTCTTCGTCGCCACCATTCACAATGTAAGCACACGGCAAGAATGCACATACTTTTCACACAGAACAGTTTTTAGACATCCACGTGTCCCTCTGTGACTCAGGCGTGGTGGGTGGTGTCGCCAGCCGGGCGTGATGTGATCTACACCGACTTGTGGTACTCCTGCAACGCCACCTGCTACCCAGTTGAGAACAGCCACACTGCTATAGCAGGTAAGACTGTGCATGACTGTATGTCCATCCATCCATTATCTATACACCGCTTAATCCACACGAGGGTCGCGGGGGGGGGGGCAGGCAGGCACCCTGAACAGGTCACCAGTCTATCACATGGCTGAGACAGGCAACCAAGCACACTCACATTCACACCTGGGGACAATTTAGAATCACCAATTGCTGCACGGGGAGAACATGCAAACTCCACGCAGAAAGATTCCGGTGCCATGACTGTATGTTCCCTGTTTAAGTTCATGCATGTGTGTGACACCTCTTTTTTTCTGTCTCCTCAGCCTATCTGCAGGCGGTCCAGGCCACTATGATCCTGGCCACGATTTTGTGCTGCGTCAGCTTCTTTGTCTTCATCCTTCAGCTCTTCAGGATCAAACAGGGAGAGAGATTCATTTTCACAGCACTTATCCAGCTATTGGCATGTATGTAAAACACACATTTCATTTTTAATGCAACTTTTGTGAGGAGTACTCAAACTCATTGATTTGCCATTTAGTATGCATCCTTTTTGATACACAGTGCTGAACAAATTTATTAAACCACCTGCCTAGTTTCTAAATCATGAAGTGCTTTAATTTGCACTCAGCTCTTGATGTTTTACCATTTTAAACAGGAATGAGGAATTTATAACTGAATTCAACTTTTTATAGCCAAATTTGAGCAGTTCACTCGGCTTCTCTGAGAAGTCAGAAATGAATCAAACATCACATTCAACCACTAAAACATTTTTTTTTTCTGTTCAGGAATACAACACTGAAATCAGTTGAAATTGACAAAAGTAATAATAAATAATAATTTAATGAAAATCATGACGTTGCTTTTGAATTGTGGTTCAACAGGAATATACATAAAAAAACAAACAAAACAACACACAAGCAAACAAGCATGATGGGACCTGTAAACTAATATTCTGTGAACAACCCTTTGAGACAATCACTGCAATCAAGTGTTTTCTGTAACTCTCAATCAGACTTCTGCACCTGTTGACAGGTATTTTGATTTTGGCCCACTGCTCATCTGCAAAGTGCTCTAATTTGTCCGGGACAGTTTTGTTTTTTTGTTTTTTTTTATTATTCTTTTCAGTCACAATTCAAAAGGAATGTCTTATTTCACTAAATTCTAATTTAGCAATTTTTTTCAGTTTGTAGTTATTTGAGTGACTATTGTGAATTTTGCCTTTTCTTTAGTGGAAGGGGATGAATACATGTGAGGACGACTGTAACTGTAACTGGCTGCAGAAGCCAACTGGTGTGAGCGTAAACCACTAATTTATGCATATTCTATCATTTCCACCCTCCCTCTTCCAGCTCTATGTGTGATGATTGCGGCGTCCATCTACACGGCCCAGAAACACAGCTTTCACGTGTCCAGCCTCCAGGAAGGCTCCTACGGCTCCTCTTACATCCTGGCCTGGATCAGCTTCCCCATGACCCTCGTTAGCGGCCTCATGTACCTGGTGCTCAGGAAACGCAAATAAACAGATTATTCAAATACGTAAAATAGGAATTTGGATACATATGCATACAAGCAAGCAATTTTCCCCCCCCAGAGAAACCTCGCTTTCTAACCCTTAGATGTTTGAAGTATTAGAATTGGGGAAATCCACTACAAATACTGCATAATTTCAATTTACAGGTTCAGAATCAGAATATACCCATATCAAAAATCCGGCAATGCACGTCAAACCAGATTGGTCACATGGCCCTTGTTCTTCCTGATGGTATATTGTTCTTACTGAATGTGGCATAGATTTGTGAGGACAAGTGCCTCACAAACTTGGCTGGATCACAAAAAACACCTTATTGTCCATGTATTATAGCAACTGAAAATATTGATGGAAACATTTAAGGTGAGAAATACATCACATTTTAATTTGATTAGCAGTGCCTCTTTAAAAAAAAAATGCTTTCACCCGCTCGATATACTGTGCAGGTGAGCTTCATTTCAAAATACTCAAATGCACTTCCCTGTGCATCACTGCTTCTTTGTTGCATTTAGTAAGAACAAACCTTCACCATCATATTTTCCCCTCAGCATAAACTCAACAACTGAACTCTTTTCCAACACGCTGACCCTCCTCTTGTATCATCGTCTCCTACTTCCTACCAAGAATTTTCACCACGACAGATTTGGAGATTTGTCTGACTGGACACAACCTCTGGACTTTCGAAATGGTCCAATTTATTTTTTTTTTCTGTGAGCAGAATTGATTGTGTACATATTTGCTGTGTATGTATAGTTGAGGTAAGACTCAAACATTAAAAAATTATAAAAACAAAAATAAAGAAACCTATGTTAACCATAGCAGACAGGAAGTGTAGTTGAAGTATAACATGTAGGATTTTTAACCCTTTTTTTGTTTGTATTCTTATGTTACTGACTTGTGTTTTAATGGTGAGAAAGGAACCAATGATGTGCTGTGATATTTGGGATTTTAAAATTTCAGAGTAGAAACAACTTGAAATAAGAATGAACATTTCTTTGTTACTGCCTGCAGCTTCCCTGCAAAAAAAAAAGAAAGAAAAAAAGTCTATTTATTGTTTAAAACCACTGTTTTGTTTGTGTTTTAGCATCATGTGACTGAAGATGCATAAAGAAAGTCTTGTCATGTTTCTTTCCCTCGCTGGCCAGGCTACTGTTTGGTCCATCACTGGGACAACAACTCCATGCACACAGTCGCTGTCGTTAAAAACAATAAATTTGGTACTGTATTATACCTGCTACCAATTCCCAGATTTATTTCTCACAACAGCCTTTAGCTCAACGTTGGTTCGTGTTGGTTTTGGGGTTAACTGGGTTCTGGGTTGACTCGTGATCGAAACGGATGGAATTTTGGACCACGGAGCCTCGACAGTAATGAAGATTCAGGGAAAAGAAATGGAAGTGAAGTGATTTTTTTTGCTCTGCTATCTCAAACTGATACTTGAAAATGAACAAAACAACATGTTAGAGGCCAAGATTGTGATGTTTGTGATTCATACCTTTTTTTTTCTTTTCTAAAGTTGTCATCTTAAGAGTATTTCACTAATTAACAAGCCTCCTGTTTGCAATTAAGTTTTCATCCCAAAATTTGAGATCAAAAGTCAGCTGTAAATCTTTTTTTTTTTCAATATGCAAATGTTGAATTTAAATTGTGTGTACGTTCACTTGCAGATATTCAACAGAAACCACAGCAATCTGTCTTAAGAGATGACGACATAGAGCATTTTTTGTGTGTTTTATATAATTGTAGATGTATTAGAGGGTAGTCATGTGTAGAGTTATATGAATAATCAAATAATCATGACATGTTGAAGCCAAAACTGTATTTATATGGATTTGTGTTTTTGCAGTTGAAATATTTCTAATGCTTACTTAAGTATTAATTCCACATTGATTGAGAGTGTCATGTCGCTCTTCAATGTTTTGTCAATGTTTTCAGAACTTAAATTAAACAACAGTTCATTTTACTGCATTTGAAGGTTTTTTTTTTTTTGTTAGCATTGAGACATTCTTGCATTTTCTGCATTTTACTGGCTCCTCTGCTTTTATTGTTTTTATTTTTTGGACATTAAATTACAACGTGCTATTTATTTTGACCTCTGTTGCAACATCAACGGCAGCTTCTGTAATTCGTAAGATGTTCCCATGCATCAAGCTGAACTGTTTGTCTGCTACTGACACCCAGTGGACTGCACCATGGTTTCAGGTTACAGATTAAAGCTCCTGTAAAGCTCTCCTGAAAAGAATGAATGTGTTTCTGCAAATCTCAGAGCAGCATATTGGTCAAATATCCAACAGATTCAGGAACAAAGACTCATCTCTCATAGGTGCTTATTTTATTTTATTTCATTTTTTTTCTCCTGTTGCCCCTCACTTATTGGACGTAGATCTCAATAAACATATTTTACAATAAATAAGTGTCGTAAGTTTTTGCCTACTGTTTCGTTGGATCTGTGCCTACTTGCCCTGTTCCTTTTCCTTTTCTAAAGTGCAATTCTAACGCTGACATTGAATGCTATATGATAAAAAATGTCCTAAATCTCAATAACTACGAAACAGAAATTAGCATCCTTTCAAGCTCTAGATATAATACTGGTCATTTTATATCTGGTTTGGGCCCCATTAGCCACCAATGTTAAACAAGAGGCCCCAAATCTCAAAGTGGTTTTCGATTCAAGTCTTTCTGTTAATATTCAGGTGTCAAAGGTGATGAAGAAAGTCATTTTCTTTTATTTTGATGGTCAAAGACCCCTGAATTCATTCCCTGTTGCCATGTGTTTTCCCACCTCCTGCCACAGACCCCCGATTCCACCCCTTGTTGTTCATTGTCCCCCCTTACCTCCTGTCATTTGATTAGCAACTGTATGTTAATTTACCTCTATTCACCTCTGTATTTACATACAGGCCCCCCCCCTACCCTCTGACTTACCCTATAAATGTGTGACTCTGCAGATGTTCAGGGTCGGTCCACCTTCACAGACTCATGCTCTGTGCTGGTGAGCCCACCGTATACCGGAATACTAATAAACACCCACTACAGCAAACTTCACATGAGGACTATGAGTAAAATTTCTTCAACAAAAGTCATATAGTCTTGTTTTATTCACCTTAATCTGATTTAACAAGGTTGTTCATACATAAATCCAAACATGCTACTGTTTGGCTTTTAATTAGTTCCAGTAGAAGTGACCACGTTACTCCACTTGCTGCTGGCTTTAACTGGTTACAAGTAAGTCTTAGAACTGATTTTAAGATCGTACTGCTTGTTTTTGAAACCCTACTTAGCCACCTGCAAACTAAAAATCGCGTTGTCTTCTTATGAGCCTGAAGGCTGTTTGACATCCTCTTGCACTGTGGTTATACATATTTTTTTGTTTTTTGTTTTTTTTTCTCTTGTGTTTTAATGTTGACTTTGTGCAGCACATTAAAAACTTCTTCAGATAAAGGCCACATACGAAAATTTACTATTATTCTCAATAATAACAAGAATTCCTGTAATCTCAACAATTTTCCTGAGGTTTGCACCAAAGGGATTAATAAAGTTTTATTCTATTCTATTCTATTCTATTCTAATTTTTTTTATTAGTTACTATAAAACTACAATCATCTGGTAGAGTTTATAACAATAGATGGAGTGTTTCAAAGGTGTTAAACGATCTAATGAGCTGACGAGAATGACAGAGACATTTTAATCCAGTTAATTTCACTTTTAAAAACATAATATTTCAGAATCAGAATCTTTAAATGTCATTATACAACAAGTACAACAAAGTTAAGTGCAATCATTTTCAGTGCAAAGAAGAAACTAACAAAACTAGGCGCAAAGACAAAAGTCAAAAGGTTTATAAAAATAGAGATGTATAAAAAAAAAATAAAGTGACTGCAAATAAATACATATATACAAATGCACAATTAGCAGTGAAAAAAGAGGTATAAGTGTTCATTTAGTAATGCAACAGCCCTGGGATATCAGCTGTTTTTTAGTCTGTTTGCTTTTGCTTTCATGTGTTTATTGCCTTGTAATGCCTCCCTCAGGTTTATAGATCAACTGAAAAACGGTCTTGTTTGACAGACGTTTTCTTTCACTTAACAAATTGTTTGAATTGATAACTTTATTCTGTAGGAATGGTTGACGCTAGATTACAACAACCAATCACCTCACCGACTCCAGCCTCATCCACCAATCAGAGCCGAGCGTCCCTCCCACTTCCGGCTATACACTCCGTCATTGAGAAGCGACAGCCCATCAAACGGCAACATTCAGGAAACCGTTCGAAAACGTTCTGGGGGGGGCGTATTTCTGCGCGGGGAGAAACGGAACCGGAATTCAACTTCGTCCATGGGCAAAACAGGCAGAACTGTGTGAGGTATTCCAGCTGTAAATTACGTCTTATGCTGTCATTGTAACGGTATTCTTTCTCGCTAACTCTATGTCCAATCACATTTACTGTCGTACATGTTAGCGGTTTTCTACACAGAGGGATAGTTTACTCAAAGTATCCGTTAAAGGTTTGCTAGCCCCGTTAGCACTGTTAGTGAGTTTTATGCAGATTAGCTTGTTCTTATAGCGGGGGCTAATAATTTGCCACCGATGCTGCTAAAAGTTGTTATCCGGGAACCTGTTCCTTAAAGCGAGTTTATCAACCGAGCCAGGCTTATTTCAGTTAGTCTGACTTACTTTTAGGTTGTTTCGGTTCCATAAAATTAATTCAACATAGCTCTAGCTCAGTTTACCCTGATGACTTATGCCAGGGAAGTAACCTGGGCAGGCTAACGGTCAAGCTAGCTGTCAGGCTGAGCATGAGCTGTGCTTCAGCCAGAGCTGCTGTAATGCAGAAAGCCAAGATTTTTGCACAGATTCATATTATTTAACCTTATTAACCAGTATCAGCCTAGGAAAGTAAAGTTTATAGAAAATTAGCTTTATTAAATAATTAAATACGTTACACGATGATAATTGCTAAGATGTAGGCTTTACTACATGTTTAATGTAGTAAGTTATGTGATATCAAATGTATAAGTCTCATGCTAAATTACCCCATTTGAATGATAATAGCTAGATAAATACTTCACAGTACAACAGCAAAGACAAATAGGCTATATTGTCCAGAAATATAGTATCTAAATCCATACACCCCTTCTTCTATTTATTTGTAGGAAACAACTTTTACAATGTGTTGCTGAACACGTTGAAAACAATGTAAGAAAAATGAGCTCACATCTTTTCTTGATGTACAGTTGTTTTTATGAATGAATTAGTGAAAGTCTTTAAATAAGGATATAACACATACACACTTACTTGAAAACAAACAAAAAAAATCCTTCTTTTTTGCGTAAGATATTTTACTACCCGACTGTTTGAATGTATTATGTTCAAGAATTAGCCAGTGTGCAGACTTCCCTTTGACTTTTGGGGTGGTGATGGCAAATTTGCATGCATGCATGTGTTTTTACGGATGAATTGCCTTCATGCATGCTGTGAATCATACTGGAATAACAGCCTAATTTTGTGCATGACCCATGATGAGAAAGACAAAGTTAGAACTGCATGGCAAAAATGGCATTCTGGTTTTGATTATGAAGGCCAATTCTAATTTCTAATTTTGGACACTGCTTGGCATCATTGCATCATTCAGAAATACACAAGACCGAATACATTCCTATAAAAGCATCAAGTGAACTAACACTGCAAAGTAAATACAGAATATTATTCTGACAATATAGCTTTAACAATGTCAATGTAAAATGTACATGTAAAGTTGTTCAAACTTAATGTGTACATTTTTGCTGTTTTTTAGTTGTTGCAACACTTTGAAAAGTTGCTAAGGACTTGGAGGAACATATTCGACAACAGAGGTGAGACAAATAACCGATAAGTCAACATATCCCACTGTTTTTTTCATCCTTATGGCATCACTGGTTCTGAGACACCGCTGTATCACAAGAGTTTATACACATTGATGAAATATTGCAAAACCTAAACTGTAAGGTGGAAAATGCATTTTGAACGTACTGTTTTCCTTCTTTCCTACAACTAGCCTTTACCCAATAAGCATATTTTTTGTTTTTGTCAGGTTTCAACTGTCTACCCATGTTTAACGGGCTAATCTTGTAAGTTGTCTGATTCCCAACTCTACAGACTAACACAGGCATCTTCTGTCCTGACAGTGCAGTGCAGGTTCACTCAAAAAATGTCGGAGGTTCAAGGTCAGCCTCAGGGTGGCACGAGCTTCAAAAGACCAGCTCGAGAGAAAGTCAACTCAGCCACCAAACCCAAGAAACGCAAACGTTTGCCTTTGTCCGAACCAGGCACACGCAGGTCTCGAGTGAACATTGGAATGGCACTTAATAGGTGGCGTGCACTGAAAGCAGCAAAAGGATTGAACTCTGATGCAGCAGTGGCCGTATATCTTCTTGATGTGTTAGTTAATCTCCCATCAGCTTCGCAATCGCAAAACAGCTTTGCAAATCTTTGCAGCTTGCCAGTAACTGCTTTAGAGTGGCTTCCAGTGTGACTAAGATTTTGCATGCAAATGGTTATTTTGCTTGTCCAGCTTCAGAATGGCCTGCTGCTAGCTTTTTTTTTAGAAAAAGATTGATATGTGGGGATGGATTTTTCGGGAAAGGGGCATTTGACTGGGAACAATTAGAGGAACTTCCCAACAGAGGGACGAGGGTCTAGATTAGGTAAAATTAATTGAGGAATTTCAGGGATGTGTCTGGTAGTGCTGGACATTTCTGATTGATGCTTGAAGGCTTTATTTCAGTCAATCTGTCCCTCATCAGTCTCACCAATCTCTACAACAGCTAAGAAAACCCCTTCACTTACTTTAAGTCTAGCGTCTTTTCCTAATTCTCGCTGGTCATTAAAACATGGTCGAAATGCAAACACTCAATTATATGAAGGAACTCTACTTGAAAAGAGTGTGTGGGATTAGAAGTTCCAGGTAGTTAGGTTGAAAATGCAGCTTAAATGTGTTTTGTTTCTTGGAATTAGTGTCCATCTAAACCTTCCTTTCTAAGCTGTAGTTAGCAGTAGTACTGTAGGGGACCAAAGACAGCTGAGTGAAAATTAAATATACATACAGAAAAACTTGGCCTCAATAAATTCATAAAAATAGAATTTAGTAGAAATTGTATTCCATTTTTTAGTTTGGGAGCATGATGCAATGTTTTACTGCGTTCAGTGCTTTCACCGGTGTTCCCGTCCTGGCTTTTGCTGCTTGTACAAGCCCATCGAATAACCTTTCATGCTTCTTTAAGTAATCTATCAATGCTAAAGATGCTCATGTTGCATGCTGGCAGTTCAGGCAATTGGGGTTTTTCTGGCAGGATGTTGTTTTTTCACACTACTACTACACTGGCTGTAGCTGGTCCAGTTTTGCACAACATTGTTATTAATATTTTACATAGTTTCCCTGTATGCTTATCCACTTAAAGCATAAAGAAAAATGTCTGCTTTGGATTCAGATTGTTAACATTTTATATTACCAAGTACAACATATGTAAGTGTTTGAATCCAGTGTTTTTATTCCACACAAAGTAACATACTTCTATGAATTACAGTCTTGGTACTAAAGGAACATTTTGTAATCTCCTCAATTCAGAGTAACAAACAACATCAACTTAATGCTGTTTTGGGTTGTGACATTGTGTTTGTGTGTCCAAATGAAGAATGAAGAGGATGCCCAACACGTCAGCTTCCACTGGAGCCGACAATCTACACATGCAGTTCTCCCGATCGGAAGTAAGAGACAACATTGGAGACTGTGCAATTATTCTTTTTTCTGTGCATCGTTATATTCACACGTAACCTCTGAAGTAGCTGAATGCCGTTCTACTGTGTGACTGCATATGTAAATGCACATATATACAATTTCTATGTAGTCATATTATCACATATCAGTAAATCCTGGATGCAAATGTAGTACAGTCAGCCAAGAAAGTGAATGTATGTTTCCTGCAGTTGTTGCATTTACTTGTAATACAATCAACATAACAGCGTATGTGTGTACAGGTACAAGCTCTGATCAAGCAGGAGGTTCGCAGTGCAGTGCAGAAGAATGAAGCCAGACTGCAGGGTTTAATAGAAACTATTCAACAGCTGGATAATGGACTCGACTATGAAATGTCCATTAAAAAACTGAAGGTGGGTGGAAGTAGTCATACGCAACATGACTTATGGGCTCAGCACCTGCATGGGAGTTTGGGACTGTGGAATGTAAACTGTGAGGCTTTTATTTACTGCCAACAAGTACCCGATCCAACGCTTTGAGCTTGTCACTGCCTTGCTTCTTTCCTTTTGTTTTTCCTCTTTTTGTCTTCGTTTTTCTTTTTCACCAAAGCGTTTTAAAATCTTCTTTTTCTTCTTCTCTGCCTTGATTCCTAAATTTGACAGCGACTGTTAAATCATGTAAGCGTTCATTCTTCACCGGTCTACCTTCATCCATTGTTCATGTTATTTGCTTGCTCATTTTTTTTGTCTCCATTAAATGAAATCCAGTTTGTACATTGACTTTCATTTCTATGCTTTTGCTGTCTTGAACCAAACTTGGATGTGTTGTGCGTCTGTCCTTGATAATAAAAATTACCTTGAAACCAGTCATTTTTGCAGATGCTCTTCTTCTCCTCAGGCTCGAATTAGCAGAATGTCGAAGAAAGCAGAAGCAGCTCTTACCTACGTAACAAAGACACGCATAAAGGTTTGTAGGGAAACAGACAATGCATATTTTACATTTCAACTGAGTGAAGAATCCCTTTAAATGTATATTTTTTATAGTTTTAGATGGAAACACTGCCCATGATATATAGCCTTTATTCACTTCAAAATTATTATTCGAGATAATAATTATGAATATTAATCTTAACTTCTATTTCAGAGACCTTCCCATGGTAAAGGGGATGTCATCTGGTATGTAAAGACAGGTTTAATTGTGTTATTTCTATCTAGTAGTTATGAAGATATGAATTGCTGGCTTGGCGTTAATTGGATTTTATCAACTTTGTGATGATTTCATTTAAATTCTACTCTGCAGTTTAGATTCAGAGGATGAAACCGCGGAAACCATGTCACAGAGTAAGAGTCTGGCGAGCACATGAATAAAGTAAAGAATGTTTCCATCTGTTGGTTGCATGAGTGATATGTGTTTTCGTTTTCCGGTAGATGGAAAGAGCACAGGTCGGCCGGCCAAGACTGAAGGGCTCTTTCACATGATGGTAAATGTGTAGTATGAATCACTTTTTGATAATGTGATTGTATTGAATTAGCAGCTTCTATAAATGACTTGTGAATAGTGTTAAATACAGATACACAAGTTTATTTAGCAAAACAGTTTTCAGTGCAGGTCAGTAGTTGTATTAATATGGACAGTAGTTAAGCTCCTTAGTTCAATCTTTTTTGTATTCTGTGATGTGCTGTATATACAGAAACGATTGCTGTTAAATCCTTTTTTATTTGGATACTACTTTAGTGGCTGACACAGTGTTAGTTACCAAAACATGGCGTAAACATCGACGTTTGAGCTGACTGATTCTTCTGTGCAGGAAACCACAAAAAAGGCACTAAAGAAGGCGCGTGGATTTAATGAAGGTAAGTTGATTTCAGACAAGTGAATGTTAAACTAGCTCAAATTAAAGCAATTTTTAGGCCCTGGTTATGCTATTGCTCCGTGCAGTGGCAAAAAAATGTAACCGAATAAGGTTAACATTATAAAGACTGAAATTCAATCACATCAATCAGACACCCTGTGATTAAATAACTTTGTTCCTACTTTTTTCCATCTTTTCACACTTTAAGCTGTGACGGCGTCCAGAGAAGATTTAGAAAAGAAGCCCTCTTCACCAGTTCCTATGTCTTCTAACCCTTGTGAGGTAGGATGCTCAGTTATTTGAGTTATGATTTGATAATTTTCAAGTCATGCCATACATAAGTATGTGTTACTAATGACTATTTCTAGAAGCTGGAATATCTGAAATAGTACTGAATTAGCAGCTTCTGTGAAAGGCGTGGGGATAATATAAAAGCAGAAAAAATATTACAAAAAAAACCCCCACTAATTTTTACTCATCAAAACTATTTTCTATTTCAGTTCAGTGTTTATATTAATTTGGACTTATTATTTACCACAGTTAAGTCTTCTGTGGTTAAAAACACGTATGGATGAAGGATTATTGTCCAAATTAGTAATTTGAATACTCATTTAGTGGCTTAAGCTGTAACCTGGGCTGCTCGGTGGTTAGCACCGTTGCCTCGCAGCAAGAAGGTCCCCGGTTCACGTCCCGGTATGGACTCGGGATTCTTTCTGCGTGCATGTTCTCCCCGTGCAGTGTGGGTTCTCTCCAGGTTCTCCAGCTTCCTCTCACACAGTCCAAAAACATGTTGAGGTTAATTGATTATTCTAAATTGTCCGTAGGTGTGAATGTGAGTGTGCTTGGTTGTCTGTCTCTAAGTGTGGCCCTGTGATATACTGGCGACCTGTCTAGGGTATCCCCTGCCTTCACCCTAAGTCGGCTGGGATAGGCTCCAGCCCCCCGTGACCCTAGTGAAGATTAAGCGGTGTATAGATGCATGGAAGCTGTAACCAAAAAACAGTGTAGGTTTAATTTGAAGTGTTCTCTCTGTGCAGGAAAGCTTAACAAAGAAACTAAAGAAGAGAACATCTGATGCAGGTAAGTCTATTTCATACAAGCAAATGGATGAGTAGCTTACCTTAAAACCATCCTGAAAGTCTGTCTTATTTAGCTTCTGGTAGCATGTTCCTCATGACAAAAAATAGTCCATGACAAGCTTTTAGAATTACTCAGATTCGATGATGTGAATCAGTCTGCACGTGAACAAATAATGTCTTTTTGTCCTACTATTCCTTGTCCTTTCTGAACTTATTCCTAATCCTTGACAACGCCCACCCAAGCAGAATTAAATCAGGAGCAGCCTCCTCCAGTTCTTAGTCCACAAGGTTCTCCAGAGAGTAAGGTAAGAGACTTTGTTATTTGATTTATCTCAAAATGTGCCATGTTTAAATAAGTGCAACAAATGACAGGATACTTGAAGAAGCAAAAAATAATTGCGTTTCCTTTAGAGTTTACATCACCTAGTTGTCTGAATGATTTTTTTTCATCTTGCCTCCATTTCTGCAATTTTCTTTTTGATATGTGTAGTTCAGGACCTGTCAGGGATAGAATGAAATAACCAGACGTTTAGCAGGAAAAAGAAAACAATATGAAGTTGAAGCAGTTTGAGTGGGCTAAAACTGTGGAAGTGGATCGTGTCTGTACAACTAGATTAGATGAGAATAGTTTGTGTAGGCTCCAGTCGAGTGTTTTTTCAAATAGCAGAAAATATAAGACAAGAAATCTTTATTGATCCCTCACCGGGGGACATTCACGTTGTAGCAGCTGGATACAGATAAGACATGAAGAAGCAGGACAAGACAATAAATTATGCACCTGTTATTTGCTATTTGATTTAATTTCTGATTTTGATATTGGATTACTTTCTAAACATGTCAGCTTATTAATTAATGACAAGCAAAAAAAATCATTTAAATTCCACAAAAGTCATTCTCTTTTTTTAATATGACTGTTTTCCCATGTTGCCTTTATTTCTTCTATTTTCTTTTTGGTGTATGTAAATTCAGGGCCTTGGCAGGGTTATAAAGGAAGAGCCTGAGGATCCACAGGAAAGAGAAAACAATAATGAGGACTTGGAGCAGTTTGAGGAGCCCAAGGCTAAAAAGCTGAAAGTAGAATGCGTCTCTTCTGGCAGCGCTAACAGTCCCAGCCACACAGATAGAGACGTAGTCCAGGTAAGTGTCCTCACTCACACTGACCACAGTTCACTTGAGGTTTTGCGACTCACTTTACCCTCTTTTTCCTTCATCTCAGCGTGGGCTCTTGTTTCCTCCTCTTCCCGCCACCACCTTCCCCTCCACCCTGAGCATGGAAGCGGCCTCGTACAGCATCCCTCAGAAGCTAGAGGTGCAGCTGGCACTCATCAAGAACCCCACCAGTCTCTCAGTGCTGTGGAGGGTGGCGGAGGAAGTCCCTTCTCCCCCACCGATGGATAGTTACACGTGAGAAGCAGCCTTAGATGAATTACAGTGTGCTGAGTGGGCAGTTTTTAGCCTTACAATCGGTACAGAAGTTTTGAAAGATACTGTTAGCCCTCATTGGGACTTTACTGCGATGGTGTTTTCCCTCTAAAGCATGTAGACCTTATAAGAAAAGAAGACAAAAGAAAACAAATTGAATTAGCACTATGCTAGCAACGGGTCTAATTGCCCTCTTGGGCTTAGTACGAGCAACAAAAACTGATCCACCTCAATATATTCTTATTAGCTCAAATTACATGATATGATTGGGTAAAGTAGGTGTTAGGAAATTAATCCAAATTTCACAGTTAAATACAAGGTGCTAATAAACATTATTGAACTTAGAAATTAGAATTTGAATTCATGTTTATGTGCATTTTTTTCGTTTTGATAAATGCCTTGGTCTTTGAAATGCCAAAAAATAGTGGGAAAAAAAATGGCTGACAGAAGTCCACAACTCACTGCAGTTAAATGTTATGTTTGACAAACAAAAACAGCAAAAACCTGCCTTTAAGATGCCTGAACCTTGAAATATGTGGAATTTTTTTCAGTTTAACATGTAATTAAAATAGAATACCTTACTCTCCCAAAGGCAGTTGTGTTACAGTACAGCTATAGCGTCACAATGTATAACTTAACATACAGTAAAAAGCATACAATACAATAAAAACAACAACAAAAATACAGTTTACACACATTGCACACAGTAGAACATAATACAGTAATATATAATACATAATCCAACAGTGTCCAAGGCCTGTACAAGCACTAACGGCTGCAGTAGAAGCAGATAATGTTACACTAGAGCCCAGGTCACCAGCAGAACAGCACCACCGGAAGTGGCGTTAGAGTATCGCTCTTCCTTTAGCATCTCTTAAAGGCGTTCTATCTTTTTGTATGTTTTTCTGAAATATATTATTGTACTGCAGATGTCAGCATATAATATGACCACCAGATGGAGGCAGAGTTCATTCAATTGGAGGCCTTCCTTCACTACAGCTATCCTCAATTTTGCATGCGTTGTTTCTGTCTCTCTCTGCCAAAGGATCTTCTTGACTATGGAGAAAACTAAAGGTAGCGGCGTCTTCCCAGACTGGAAAGTCCTTGGCGAGGTGAAGGCCATCGAGCTGCCCATGTGTGTGCTGATCAGAAAGCACAAGCCCGGCCACAAGGTGTGTGCTGCCGTGGTGGGCAAAGACGTGTTCGGTCGGTATGGACCCTATAGTACGGTTGCAACAGCAGCCATTCCTGACTAGTTGGACAGAGGAAGTGATTTAAAGTGGGAGACGATACAAACAGCTGCCTGGAGCAGGATTCACTCATTTTGGACTATAAATACAAAACAGCATTTTCGGCTGCGTCAAGTTCAAAGATATAGACTTTTTATTGTTGTTTACGAGTTACAGTGCTATTTTGACACTATTGAATGTTTTTAAGCAATACAACTTAATTATTTGTGCATAAATGTAATAAGGACCAATGCGGTCCCATGTATCTCTTTTATTTCGAGATAAAGGAATGTAAAGTAACATATTTTCATCTTACATTTTATGTATTTTCTTGTATTCTCAGTATATTCTGCCATTTTTTTCCCCCTATGATATTCAGTTTGGTTCTCTTTAGACTGAAGCTTGTTTATTTCGCAGGCAGCTGCAACTTCAGTCACATCAGCATCACATGGAGTATTTTTGTTGCCAGCGGTTTAATGTTAGTTTGTCAGTGCGTTGCGACACGCTTGTCTTTTTGTTTGGGATATACATTTGCATGGAAACTTATAGAAACAGAACACAAAGATTTCTACATCGATTATCATCGTTATTGCACTTCTGTCAGTTCAATGTAAAAGGCCTTGTTTTTTTTTGTTTGTATTGTTATGGATCCACAAAGTGTTTAATACTGAATAAATAAAAATGTTCTTATAAAAAAGTAATGTGCGTAGAAGAGTGATTCAGGTAAACCAAATGTATAAATTAAATGTGTATAGAGGCTACACAGAATGCATGTTTCCCTGCGTTTGAAACGCCTATAGGTAAAGTTAGCTTCTTGGGTGCATTTTTGCAAGTTTTGATTTGTTTGTTTTTTTTATATCTGTGCCATTTCAGTGTTCTCATATATTTGTGTGAAATGACAAAAAAAAAAAATGGAAATAGGCTCAAGGTGTAAGTTCTAGCAAGACTAATAGTGTTATTGGCTCATAGGGAAAAATAACAAGTCTTCCTGCGTGAAAGGTCATATACAGTTTAATGTTAAGTGCTTTTTGTTGAAGGCAACTGGATTTCTCTTTTTGCCTCTTTCACTTCACTCGGTTCTAGCTAACTGGCTGGGAGTCCCGAGAATTTATTCTCACCCCTGAAGTCACATGGCTAATGGCCTATTACCGACCCGAGACTCACATGCCTGGAGGTGTGAATGGTTGTGAAGCTGCCAGGTGAAGGATGACTCACTGTGTTAATGGTGGCAAAACTTTCTAGGGAGTGATCTGAGGACACTGTTGTAAGTAGTCGGTGAAAATAAACGGCCTTTTTTTTGGGTGGTGCTGCATATTGAGAAGGACTTGAAGTTAATAGGAAACCTACACACACAGACCAAAACCTACAGACCCAGTGCTTAATGTTTGACTCCCGACATCCACTGGAGCGTGTCGTGACAGAGGAAAACATAAAACTAGGAAACAGTTAGAACCTGTAGTCATCCCAACTGGGCCTTAATCAAATCAAGAAAAAAAAAAAAAGAAAACATGAAATGACGAACAAACCAACAAGCAGTGAAGAACAAACATTCATATCAAAGTCCAATGTTTTGTCGTCCCATCCATCCACCCCAACCTCCTCACATTGTGCACTTGTGACTGTTACTTTGTCATTTCATGTCCTCCTTTGCTCCCGTCATAGCTACTCTGGCCACTAGAGGGTGCAGTCACAAGAATAAAACATAAATATAAGTCATTATAAGCTGCTTGTACAATGAATTTTTTCTTTCTTAGGAAAAAAAAATCACTAAATGCCTGTTTGTGAAATATATCATTACTGCTCGTTACTGCACATGTCCTACAACTGAAATGTCTTGAAGTGTTTTCTTGACTCATTATATGCTATATTCTGCTTAATTAAGTTCTAAAATGGATGCAACCAATTGAATTCAGTTTTCCTATGTAATGTTTTGTACTGTTTAGAATAACACCACAGACTAGCTATATTTTGTTAGAGCCGAATGACTCCAATATGCATTTGAGGATATCGAAGTTAAACTGAGCCAGTGCTCATTGTGTTGTAATGCTCTGTTGTGATGTTGTGCAACATAAAAAAAACTAAGAGGATTACAGACTGCATCCCTGATTGTACATGCAGTTTTTTTGCTTGAGTGAGATCCTGTTCAGAGATCTCCAGACTCCATACTTGGCAAGAATCCCAGCTTAAACTCCTACAATAAGACGACCATTGAGACATCTAGATAAATAGTCTGCCTCGTGGTGGGTTTTGGCCAGTCAGATGATGCCAGTTTGAGAGTTATTTTCTCCCACACAGGCCAGAATTTGCGCGCATGTTTGGCAACAGTTGTAACTGTTACATTTTTTAAAAGACGGTTTGATTTCTTGTGCTGCTGGTCGGACACAGTTTGAAATCACACTGCGTATGAAGGAGTGAGTGTGTGCAAGTGTAAAGGGAGTCATTAGACCAACATTGAACGCTTGCTTCCAGCATCAGCAATACTCCATGTGTGTGTGTGTGTGTCTCCCCTCAGCCGGTGGGATTCAGCGGGGACGCACAGCAGAGTGATGAGCCTCCCAAGACCACTTAAAAACACACACACACATCCATCCTAGCGTGCGCACACACACACACACACACACACACACACACACACACAGTGTCCTCATTAGAGGTGACAGCAGAGGAGGCCAAGCTTATGAAAAAGGGGTGAGGAAAAACGCCAGACGGGAAAAAAAAAAACAGCAGAGGTGGAGCGGGGAGAGTTGATCAGGGAGCAAATACGTTGTTTAAAGTTCAAAGAGAAGAACGGTGGCCAACTTCATTTACTTTGCACCTGTTAAATCAACGTTGTGAGTGGAATCCCACATCGTTTAATAAAGCACAGATCTGCTTGTCAGCTTAATTGGTTTTATTTGTACCCTGAGAAATGTATTTAATGTAACTGAAGACTCACAGAAGACAGAATCCAGGTATCTGTGGTTAGTGATAGCTGCAAAAGTAAGAAGTAGTAAAATTAAAGCCGCAAGCGGCAATGGACCGGTCCTCGCCCGACGCTTGTCGGCCTTCACGCACGGAGGGTTGTGGTGCAAACGTGCTCTGGGCGGGACTCTGATCCGGCCTGTCGAGTTTTGACCAGATCAGAGCACGTCAAGGCGTATTTACGAGCCACTTCCTGTTTAGTGGCAAGCCACTCTGGCTGAGACTCGGAGCACGTGCGTAAAGTTTCAGGAAGATTGGAGCACATACAGGCCAGTTACACAGTACGTCTCATATTCTGGCATTGCAAGGCGTTGTGGCCACGCCCTCAGGTGGCGTTGTGAGTGAGAGTCGTCATATGTCTGTGATGAGGATTAGAGTGTGATGCAACATGTGAAGTTTGAGAGCAATTGGAGCATGTATGGGCTATTTACACTTCACTTCCTGTTTAATGGCGAGCCGAGGCGGCGTGCATGGCGTGGCATGCTGGCAACACGCTGTGGCTGAGACTCAGAGCACGCGTGTAAAGTTTCAGGCCGATCGGAGCACACACAGGCCAGTTACACAGCACGTCTGGTGTTATGGCGTTTTATGGTGTTGTGGCCAAATTGCGTGGGGCGCCATTTCCACGCCATCAGACTTTTGCAGAGCGTTTTACTAAC